AATCTCTGTCCATTCAAAAGTCATTTTATTTCTAAATAGCAAAAATTCATGATTGCAATAACTTATGTGCTATGATGCAGATAATGCTGTTGATATTTTTTTTTTGGAAAAGAAAATGAAGCCACTGCAAAAAATAACTAAATTATGGATAAATAAATGAAAAAATATGAAATATTAGCCGAAAACTTCTCAGTAAAATCATTTCGAAACAAATATATATCACAAAACTGAAACATTTCGCACAAAAAAATCTCAATATGAGAAATATGTCAATATTGCTGCCAATATAACAAAGAACCAGGCGATCAATGGGAAAAATACATGAAACGCCAAAATTGTTGAAGTTTTTGAAAGAGATTTAAGTTGGGGAGTTGTTTTCGACATGAGAAGTTTTTGTCCTGAGCTTTTCTTTACTGAGACCTCACTATTGAGATGATAACGGCTGAAATATTTGTACCTGAGAGATTATTTGGGAGTACCACATTCAAGGTAGTACCAAATTAACAACTGTTCGTAATAAACGGTGACGAATGATTTGGCAAGGTCTACAAAGACGCACAAAGGGATTTTTCACCTTCATTCAATTTATGAATTTGATTTATTAGGTCCACCATTGCATTCTCTGTAATCTGCCTGGTTCAAATACATATTGTGAACAGTTTTGAAAAACTCTGACTTCAACCTGTTCAAAGGCCCCAACGAAGTTGTGAAAAACGGAAAAGTTAAAATGCCGAATTTTAAGACCTGCTGAAAAGCATTTCCTTAGTGGTATCGGATGGATTGGTTCGTAACTTCCCTCTATTCTAATTTTTCACAGAGAGGCTTTGCCATTTGTCAAATTTGAGGTATCCTTTCTTTCTTGGGATTGTATTCATCATATTTTCGATCAGGAGATGGAATTTTGGAGTAGATTTGATATTATTATTGATAATTCATTATAAATGAAGTTGATTTTATCATTATTGCTATTTAATAATGGTAACAGTCGAATTTTCCTGAACATTCATCAGTCAATCACGAGTGGAAATTTTGTTTGGAAAAAGTTATTCAAACTCAAGATTAAGCCGAGTTTAAATTTGTGAAATAATTTCAAATTAAAATATTCTGGGAGAAAAAAGCGATCTGAAAAGTTTCAATTATTGTTCGAAATTTCTGAGATACCAGTACATATCGGTTATTGAAAATAAAACAAATATATACGTCCTCCTTATTTCACTTCACATATTTCTGCTTGGATATCTTATTCATCAAATGCTGCACATACTCACTGGTATTTGATGAAGTCAGTCCATAAAACTAACATTCTTTTCATTGTCAATTGATCGGATTCGGGGTAGTCGGTAGGATCACCTGCATGTCCTTCTACTCCTCCAAAGAGATACTTTAATTCGGCCGTATGTGCAACCGAATCTGTTCCTGAGGAAAAAAGTAAAAAAAATGTTTGAGTCCTGATAAAATTATAAAATGATGAAAAATTTTTCGGTGAGTAATTGAAATATTTTGTACTATGTTCTCTTGGCCAGTACAAGAAAACCAAGACAGTTTAGGTACCCAAGATTGTGGCTTTTTGGGTGTGGAATTGTTTGTCAGTACTAGCACACTCACATGTGATACGAGCCTACTTCTTTTCATTTTCACCAAACTATTAGAATAACTCATAAATACACCGAGGGTCGAAATAATTGACCACAAAAACTTTGATACTTTTTGAAAGGAGTTATCAAAACATGATCCATATTCAAGTCCTGGACATCGATTAATTGGCTATCCGAAATCATTGATGTTTTTTCAAAAAGTTGAAGTGTAAAATATGAATAAAGACCAGTTTTGGAGTGAAGAATCAATTCACTACATCTCCTGAGGATGATAACTTGGCTGGTGAAACGCGTATTGATAAAGGTATTACATTTCTGGTGTTCGGGAGCAGTACTTGTTTTGGATTTATGCTACTTCAGAGGATTCAGTTCTACCTTTCACTTTGATGCCATATGAAGATATAATATCAAACACAGTTCATTAATTGTTGAATGATGAATTGATCGGAATCGAACTTTGGAATATGAAGAATTAAAACAAAAAAAATATTTTCTGAATGACCTTGAAACTAACGAAAAATACAGAAAGAAATACAGAAAGAAATGATGCCCCCAAAAGTTGTCAAAAGATTAACGGTCGAAGAACATTCATCAGCAGATAGTGGAGAAAACAAGAAAATAACACGCCAGTCGGAGGTAGAAAAAAAACGGCGCACAAGGTCAACCAGTTAGAGATACTAAATTATACTGAAAGTAATTAAATTATATACATATATTTCACTACATTATAACATTTTGTGCACCTTACCTATCTTCCTCTATATAAATAAATAACAGAACAAATTTATATTTTGCCTTTATTATTGCTTTATAAAGATAACTTCCCTTTTTTCAAGTAGAATATTTAGGTACGTATAAATTATTTCAACTTGATATAGGCGCTGTTGCCAATATGTGAACTAGAAACAAGTCCCTTTGAAAATTGAAACCCAACATTTAAAACATCAATTTGAATACTTTTCGAAGTGAATTTGAAAAAGTCATGAATTAAACTCAACTTTATTTTGTTCAAACTTGCATTTGCTGTAATAACCAAAATTGAGGAACATTTCCCATTCAATTGTGAAATTAGGTATATTAGGCATTGAATTTGTAGGCTGTAGTTAGAAAAGACACGCCTGAAGAAGCCATTGTATGGCGAAACACGTGTAGCGTTTTCGTAAAACTTCATTGTGAAAATTTCACAATGAAGTGTTTTTTGAATAAGTTGAAACATGAATATTACTGGAGTTATATCCCAACACAAAACTATTATTTTAACACCTCGACACATCTTTCGATCACCAAGTGATCATTTCCAAGAAAAAGATTAATCTAAAAATACATACAGTGTTATCCTTATTTATACCATACATACCTCTTCTAGATACCTGCGTCTCAAGTGTCTTGAATTAATTTCACAACTGTAAAACATTCAAGGAGGTGATTTCTCATCGAAAAAAAGATAGAATATTTCATATAAAGAAACTTTATTGGAGCATCCTTTATTAAGATACATTCCCTCAAAGGGGGTACATAAAATTTGTATAACAATTTTTTCACAAGCACTAAAAAAGTTAC